TGTGCACCTCAACTTCTTTGGTCCCCCCAAAATGGGGGGGGGATTTGGTTCGAGGGGAAAACCTGTCCTTTTAAAAACACCCGTATGGTCTTGGCCACCATGCTGCAAGCTAAAGTTTCAGGGTCTTGAAAATTTTCCTTTAGCCTAGCCCCATCTTTATGTAAGAAACAATTATTTTTTTTCGACCCCTCATTTCTTTGCGTTTAGGGCCGGGTTTGTTAAACTTTCCAGGGGACCAGTATGAGAAAAGGAGAGCTGTGTTTTGAGTTTTTTTTGGGGGGGAACGGGAAAATTTTTCCCCTGTTTTACAATTTTTAAAACATTTCCAATTTTCTTTAAATTGTAAAGCAAAGGTAATTTCTTCAGTGTTGTCACATGAAAAAAATAAAAAAAGTTTTTATTTTAACAATTTGAGGGCTACTCACTTCTTTTGAGATCCCTGAAACCCCCAACACAAATTTGCTAGAAAGGGGGTTGTGCAACCCCAGCTTTGCATGAGGGGCCTTTCCCCTTCAAAGTGTACTTTTTATTTTTTACAATACACTTCATTTTTTTTAAAGGGTTACTTCCAGATATTCCCAAGCTTTTTCTTTTTTCCCTTTAAAACGTTCGGGGGCCCCCCCCCCCCCCCTTGCGCATCTTACAAATTTGGCCGGGGAGAGGGAGCATCAACATACACGGGCCCCTTTAAAACCTTAATCACCCCCCAATGCTTGCTCCATCAGACCTCAGGAATTATCCCCAAAAATCCGGCAAAAGAAAACGCAGGGGTTTTATATGCATAATTTGCTTCAGCGGGCAGTACCACTGGGTGGAAGAGGAGGGTAGGTGAGAAGGTTTTTTCCCCTGGGGCAGTACCCTTAACATCATGACATCCGGGGGATTGTTTAAACCAAACAAAGGGCAAGGCCGGGCTTGTAACTGCCAGCCAAGGTGAGATTAAATTTTCACGGGGCCCTTTGGGAAAAAAACCATTGGAAATGCCTGCCTGTGCGGGAAGGGAAAAAACCTACTTCTAAAGATTGCAGGAACATCCAATAGAGTACATTGTTGCAGGCAGCATCCTGCCTGTATAGTTACACTGCTCTCGCCAGGATAGGGGAACCAGGAGAAGCAACAGGAGATTAATAGGCAGCTGCAACTTGCTTTTAGAGGGTCACGATTTTAAAGTGTGCATTGCTTGCCTTTTGCAGTCATTATGTATTAACCCGATCACTCATTTTTTTACAAGCACCACAGTAGATTATACTGAAGCATATTGAAAAGAAAAAAAAAAAAAAAAAAAGTCTACCATTTGTACAAAATGTTACAGCACACATCCTAAATAATACAGTAATTCATACATACTTCTTCTTTGATCTCTGTAATCCATAACATTGGATATATATCCATCTATCAAGGAGAAGGCAAAAAAAATGAAAAGACTTCTTGTGTCATGTGTAAGTTTTACAGGAGAATCATGCCAAGATCTGGAAACGAAAACATAAGCATTAAGGAACTACCGCATCTATTATAATGTTTATAAAAACAACAAGGAACCTATAACAAGAAATATTGCCACACGTAGAAGAACCTTTCTGTTCTCACTCCCTAGAGTTAATCTAATAAGCCCCAATTGACTTCCTGCCATGCTCCAAACTTTCATTTGCGTTTCCTTTCATAGATAAACAACGTGTCTCAGCGGCAAAACAAATTTGTTCACATATGTAAGGCATGGTCTGGACCACAATGGAACATTTGGCGAGAAATAAATTTAAAAGGGTGGATTAGTACAAAAGAAAAACTCACAATTGACATGTGTTATATACATAAAATGGTTCTCTGTTAACAACCAAAGTATGTGTGCTACAGGCATTATATTGGTATAGCAGGAAAAGATGGATGGCATTTTGATTTCTCTAGATACGAGTTTTTTATTCTGTCCCATATTATCTTGAAAGTAAATCAGTTCTACACATCTGCATTAACAGATATACTGAAAGCCAAATTAAGCATGCATTTTTTGAAGGGTTATTTTCTGTTAAAGGATGGCAATCATTTGAAAAAGACAAAATGTGTAACAAAGCTCAGAATATATCCATTCTGCTTACTTGTGTTAGTAACAGTGTAAGTATTAAAGAAGTATGGTACCCATACTGAGTTTTATATTTACCATTCAGCTCCCACTGGGGCTGATATGGGGGAAAAAAAAAAAAACAAAAAAAAAAAAAAAGCTTGAGACATTTGGCTGGCTTTTGTCAGACAGGCTGTTGTGTGTACACACACAACACACACACACGGGGGTTGAATGTTAGCTAGTTTAGAATCATCAGATATTTGAACTCTGTAATAGGCATTACCGGCCAGATCACCAGGTGAAAACAAGAGGGATGGAAGCCAAAAAAAAAAAAAAATGATGCAGTCACTGCATCTAATTTGTAAACTGCAATATACAAAATTTTTGATTTGGCCTTAATACCTCTTTAATAAACAAATCAGGTCCATTTATTTACCACTCACAAAAGCAGCTAATGGCAGTGTAAAGCGTATTAGCCTGAAAGCCACAAAGATTCTTCACAAGTATCTTGTATTTGCATGTTCTTTATATATCATTTTAGGATCACTGCTTCTTCATTTAGAAAAGCAGAAGTGTCACTGTTCACCCACATATGAGAGTAGAAAAGGACATCTAAGAAATGGTGGAGATGGATGGCAGGGTGTCACGATCCAGGGTGAGGACACAGAACTTATTCTGGACTTTTGCACAGGATGCACTGTAAGATCACACGCTAGAAAGTAAAAAAAAACAACATATCAGTCACAGCAGAGCAGGAAAATCCACACAGCTATAAAAGCCTCATCGCTATATGCACATGCTGTGCCAAATTAGCCATATTGTGTCCCGATGAAGTCCATTACTATATCAAGTTTCACAAATATTACGAAAGCAGCCTTTTTGAGAAACTAAATGAACAATTTCCCCAGAATTTTTAGGAAAAAGTAATGTGCACCAGCTGTTCATATGTAAATACTGTTATGCATATGCCATGAATACCATGTCCAAGGCTAAAAGATACTAGTATACTGCCCCTCTTGTGTTTGATTGGCTTCAGTGCGGCTTATATATTAGGAGCACAGCATCTAAAAAAAAAAAAAAAAAATCATTTACACTTTTTCAGGTTGTAAAAAAAACGTTTTATTATGTTATGTTGCTAGACAACAACGGCACATGTCAAAGCATTCTTTTTTCCAGTACATAAAACATTGTTATTTGAGACATTTGTTGAAAAGCTTCAACTCTGCTTCCTTGACTACATGATGGAAGAACTATATACCTTTAGAGGCCCAACTGAAAAAAAAAAAATATTTATAGTTGGGGCAGCACAATGGCTAAATGGTTAGCACTTCTGCCTGGCAGTACTAAGTTTGTTGGTTCAAATCCCAGCCACAGCACCACCTGCCTGGAGTTTGCATATTCTCCCTGTGCCTGCGTGGGTTCCTCCGATACTCCGGTTTCCTCCCACACTCCAAAGACTTGCTAGCAGGTGAATTGGTTCCTGTCTAAATTGGCCCTAGTATGTGTATGAATGTAAGTTAGGGACTTTAGATTGTAAGCCCATTGAGGGTTAGGGACTGATATGAATGTACAATATATATGTAAAAGCGCTGCATAAATTGACGGCGCTATATAAGTACCTGAAATAAATAAATAATACTTGCTTAGATGGCTGCAGTATCCATCCAACGTTGTAGCTGTTCCCTGCCGGCTCTACACCGAGCTGTCAGTCACTTCTCTGTGCTGCTCTTTCCTATCAAATCTATACTTTGATTGTGCAGCTCCTGCTGATCTGAAAATTGTAGGCCTCAATGATGAAAGTACTAGTGTTTAGCTGGCTCCCCAATCCCCCTTGGCCATTCACAGAACACATGGCATTCTATGAATTTGAGACTACTTTTGTGCCAGGAGTTCTGCTTTAGGCAAAACCAAGCATGTGTTTTTTTTCTTTTTAGTTTTGGATAGACTTGGGCAAAGTAAATACAAGTTTTTATAGTTATATGTGATGCCTTTGGGGCAATTTATCTTACTTTCTGCTAACTCAAGAAGTGAGGGGAACAGTCACTGGGGCAAAAGTGTTTTCTTGCAGTTTTTTTGTCCCCACTCAAGAGATTTTGTATTAACCTATCAACAAAAAGCAAAGGGAAACCTCTCCAATGGCGATACAGACCATGATTAAAAACGTGACAGTAGTTTTCTCTTGTTTTTTTAAATGAAAGGAAAAGGTTTTCACTGGAGTTTGGACATTAACCACTTATTCTCCTGAGGATTTACCCCCCTTCCTGACCAGGCCATTTTTTGCATTACGGCGCTGCATTACTTTAACTGACAATTGCGTGGTCATGCAACGCTGCACCCAGATAAAATTTTTGTCCCATGAATTGAGCTTTCTTTAAGTGGTATTTGATCGCCTGTGTGCTTTTAAAAAGACAAATTTTGAGAAAAACACAATATTTTGGACTTTTTGCTATTAACCATTAGCCGCCCGGCCTATAGCCGTTTGGCGGCCGCAAAAATGGTTTAGCTTTCTGGGGTGTACGCCATTTGGCGTCCTCCCGCACATGCACAGTTCGTGCGGTTGAAGAGCCGCACAGCGGCGCGATCTGTCACCGGCCGTGTACCTCGGACACGGCCGATGACAGATCTGAGTACCGGCCCCGCTGCTGGTACCATGTGACCTGCTGTGACCAATCACAGCAGGTCACATGAAAGTTGTATACAATGGATGGCTTAATTCATGCCATCCATTGTATACTAGTGCCTAGCTGTGAATGGTCACAGCAGGTCACATGCACATGTCATGTGATTAGCTGTGGCCAAATGACAGCTAAGCACAAAAAAAAAAAAAAAAATCTATATATCTATGTCTATATTTTTTTTTTTTTTTCATACTGTCACTAGTCAGTGTCCCTGTTCACCGCCATGCCAGTTATATGATGACGCTGTACTGCACTGGTGACAGTATGTAAAAAAAAAAAAAAAGTGAAAATAATTTTTTTAATTTTTTAATTTTCCAAAAAATTACAACTTCAAAAAACTCACCATTCCTCTTATGAAGTACGTCGGACTGTCTACTCTGCAAAAAGGGGTCATTTGGGGATATCTGTACTACTCTGACATTCTTGGACCTCAAGAATGTGATTGGCTGTCAATTCTTCAGGATTGATCAATATTCAGATATATACCATAGTTTGTGAACTCTATAACTTTCCTACAAACTAAATAATACATCCTAATTTGGGTTATTTTCACCAAAGACATGTAGCAGAATACATCTCGGCCTAAATTTCTGAAGAACAATTATTTATTTGTAAACTTTTATAACAGAAACAAAGAAAAACGTGTTTTTTTTTCAAAATTTTTGGTCTTTTTTTTGGTAATTTAGCAAAAAATAAAAACCCCAGCGGTGATTAAATACCACCAAAAGAAAGCTCTAGTTGTGTGAAGAAAATGATAAAATTTTAGTTTGGGTACAAGGTTGTATGACTGCGCAATTGTCAAAGTGTGAGAGCACGGAAACGTGAAAAATGGCCTGGGCAGGAAGGGGGTAAAATTGCCAGGTATTGAAATGGTTAAACATGTCCAGTAAAAATTTTTTAAAAAAATCAAATTGTCAAATTTTTCGCCAAAATGTATTCTGCGAAATTTCTTAGCTAAAAAAAATCCCAATATGTGTAAATTAATTGGTTTACTTGAAAGTTATAGCGTTTACAAATGGCGGTATGGATACTGGGATTTTTTTTTTTTTTACTTACTCGTAATCGCAGCGATCAGCGACTTTTAGCGGGACTGTGGCAGACATCCTGACACTGGAGGGGAATTGACTTGGTGTCACATGAGGGGGGGGATGCTTCACTGTAAGCACACTGCTCTGGATGGCTGTCCAGCCATCCAGAGCACTGTGCCTGAGCTGACAGGGAGGAAGACTGTTAGTAAACAAAACAGTCTTCCTCCCCGTCAGAGATGCTCGGTAATCACCGGGCGCTGGCGGGTAATTACCGGCCAGGACCCGGTGATTGACAGCCGGGGCCGCGAATGGTGGCACGGGTAGGGCTTGCGTGAGCCCCCTACCCGGAAATGCAAAATCATGTATACACACACGTGATTTTGCGCACCCGTGCCGCCCTGTAGCAGTATTTCTGCTATAGGGCATTCGGTAAGCGATTAACTAAGCCCTGCAAAAAAAAAACAATACACTGACCAATTCTAACTCTCCACTGAGTACGTATTCCTTTTATAACCAGAAGAAATCAGTTACTGGAATGCTACCCTTTTAAAATGCTTTGTTAGCACATTCAAAGCTCGACACACGTTGCAATCTTATTGTACAATCTACTGTAGATTTAGCAACTATACTGCCGCAGCCTACTTGACAGTTGAGGTCTTTGTAATAACATGATTTTTATACACCTGTAGCCAAGTCCTCATGACAAAAGAACAGGAGGAAGCGCCTTTATAAGAGGCGATAAAACTGTGCAAACTGTGGTGTGATGCATCACCTGGTCATCCACCTGAGATTAAGCTGTGAGTGGCAAAATTTAGCACCAAGTTTGAATAGCTCATAAGGAAACATTCACTTATACAGCATTAGTTTTTAACATATAAACAAAATACTCTTCAGGATATGCACAATTAGTGTAAGGCAAGTAATAGAGATATTATGTCTCACACTTGCTATGGGACTACAGTAATGGTTCAGTATGTAGGGTGACCTTGTCCGAGTTTTGCCTGTCATGGTGGGCATACCTCCGAAGGGGTCTTCAGGGTCTGGGTTCTTAGAGATGGACCATGTCCCTGGACCTGTATAGCATCCTGCGTTTAACTACACATGTTGCAGTAAGTGTGGAGGTGGGCGCCAAGCAGGATCCAGAGCTGTCCCCATGGGTGTGGACTCCAGGTAAGACTGCCAAGTGTTTACCAAGGATGCGCCAATCCAGAGTACTTCTTTGTTGTAGTCAAAGACAGTGGAGTGTTGAAGAGCAGATTTGAAATATCCAAAGTAAAATAATAAATTAGTTAAGCGAAGAGTGATATCTTCATAATGAAGAGAGCGATTGCCTTAGAACACTAGCAAAAAATGGAGCGCTTACAGAGTGGGGGTAGGGTTATGGGGGGATGTCAAAGGGGCATACCCTTAAAAGCTTTGCCAGTGTCCAATCACCTAGGGTCTATGAATATCAAGCTTGTGTTCTGTACTGTACAATTATGATACTCCTATTTTGTTCTCATCCATCAAGATATACAGGAAGATTGTACCCTTAAGTCCAAAAACAGACCAACTGACGGGTGGGGGGATTGGCAGTTGGGGCAACACAGCAAAAAAACATAAATGGGTCCAAGAAAACAACAGAGAACTGGGGACTGCCTGACCTCAAAGAACTACAGGTGACCTCCTTACAAATCAGCTGCTTGATACTGAAAAGCCCAAGAAGCACTTACCGATTAAGTACACTGTGCCTCGACAGTAAAAGAGGGAAATCTTATCCCTGAGCCCATAAGCTTGGATGATAGTCTGCCTGAGCTACCTGGAAGTTGGAACAAGAGGCCAGTGCACCCTTACATGGTTCATTCAGGATTAGAGGGTTCATTCAGGATGACAAAAGAGGAATCAGTTGTCCTGAAAGAAGTATGAACAGGAGCCAGGCGCTGTGTAGTTTTGTGATAAAAATAATACACCTTGTATGGAGGTGTGCCTTTAATAATTCATATGGTAAAAAAAAATAATAAATAACC